GGGTGGCATGGCAGAGGGGCATCACAGAGGAGAAACGGTTCATAGCAGGCAGAAGGCAGCAAAAGCAGCAAACAGCAAACTAGAACAGCAGCCCTTTTTCTGTCCCTTATATTCTATCCAGGCTGCATGCCCTTAGGGTAGGCAGCACTCACACTCATGGTGGGGTACCCTTAATCCTAGAATCACACCACGAGTCAATCCCAGCATCACACATCCTTAATCCCAGCATTACATACTCTAGATCCAGCCACCTCCAAAATCCAGCTATGACTACATGAGGTTTTGGGGGAACATCTAGACACAGGCCATAACACTCAGTGAGGACAAACTCTGAGACTACAGCTAGATCCTTGGGGACACTAAGGTGAACAAGGCATGCAGATGATGTGTTTGAAGTCAGGGGGCAGAAGGCAACCAGAAAAGAGATAAAGAAAGGGCAGGGGGTCGCCAAGGATATAGCTCAGTGGTTCCGCCACCTGTCTCGCAAGTGCAAGGTCCCAAGTTCAAGTTCAATCCCTGGTACCAAAAAAAAAAAAAAAAAAAAAAAAAAAAAGGCAGGGGGGACTCACACACGAGAGGTGTCCCTTCCAAAGAGAGGACTCTAAAAAACTCTTCATGATGCATAAACAGCAGAAGAACTGCATGGACAGGATTAGCTGGCTCTGGACGTGACTAAAGGCACTCAGAGTCACATCAGGACTTCATCTCCATTCTGCCTCTTAACTCCCTGTTCCTATTTCTTAGGTCAATTTACATACCATTCATTTTCCTTACCTACAAAACATAGGTAATAACAACATCCTGACCAGAGGCTTTCAGTTAGGAGTAAATGGATACACAACCCAGGGGCTGTAGAGCAGACAAAGTGTGTGTGATATCTTGAAATAAAATAGAGTAGAAGAAAGAAAGACAATAAGACATAAACTATAACAAAACACAATTATGTCAACTAAAGATGTATCACACAGGAGTTGCAGGGGTCAGGAGCAGGAGGGGAGGCAGAGATCATGAAGGGGCAACAGAAGGGAGTGATCTGGGGTGAGGTTCTGTACCCCAACTGTGGTGACAGTCACACAAATATCTGCATGTATTTTAACTCACAGACCTGCACACACACCCCAAAATTCAAATTTACTCTATATAAATTTAAACAGTATTTATACAAAAACATATTTTCATGAACACATAGAAACACAAAGCAAAGTATTTAATACATCAGGATAGCTGTCTTTGGCAGGGTGAGTACGGAGATGGAGAAAAAACTGAATTAAATAAATAAATACAAGCAAGGTGTGGTGGTGTACACCTATAATTCCAGGACTCTAGGAGGCTGAAGCAGTAGGATAGCATGTTAGAGCTCAGCCCGGGCAACTTACTGACCTAGAGAAATCTTGTTTCAAAATAAAAAATAAAAAAGAGCCAGGGATGTAGTTCAGTGCAGAAGCCCTGTGTTCAATTGCTAGCACAATAATAATAATAGTAATAATAATAATAATAAATGCAACGAGGGCCTTTGCACAGACCAACATAAACAACACGTCATGCACTGGGAGGAGGTCTGTCCTTTGTGCCTAAGAGGGGAGAGAATGATTCAGAGGAGGGTAAGGATCCAGAGTAAAGCTGAGGAAGAAAAGAATTAAAGAAGCAAGGAAGAAATGAAGAGGCAAAAAGAAAGGCAACTAAAAGATGTAAAAGATATTATGGTTTCATGTAACAATAAATTCCACAAATACAAGTACCACATCTATAACCTTTGTTACCATCATAGCCTTCAAGCCAAGTCTCAAAGCCAGCACAAGTTTGTGGCATTTGGTAGCTGGCAATCAGAGCGTGGTCCTGAGGAACCCAAGTGAAGGAGACTAAAGCAAGCCCAGCTTGGGCTGTCATGAGCTTGGGGTACCAGTGGGATCTTAAATGAAGATGAGCAACAGGCTGCTGGCTGTGTGGATCTGCAGGAGAGGAGGAAGATCTGCTTCAGCAGACGAATTTGGGACTTCCCTGAACACACGATTGACGACAACAGCTGTGGAGACAGAGGCACTCACCAGCAGTAGGCAGAGCAAGAAGCAGTGGGAAAACACAGACTCTTAAGGAGTAGGGAGAAGAGGAGCCTAAGAAAGAATCTGAGAAGTGACCAGAGTGACAGGCAGAAACCCTGGGTGTCAAGAAGAAGGTGATCGATAGTTGTGTTCGTCAGCTTTCTGTCACTATAACAAATACCTAAGGTAATCAATTTATAAAGCAAAAAGGGTTTTTTTGGCTCCTGGTTTTAGAGATTCCAGTCCACATTCAGTTGGTCCCCTTGCTTTGGGCCTATGGTTGGCAACACATCATAAGGGGAGGGAGGAGAGGAGGAGATAAAAAGAATTAAGATGTGTTATGGACATGTACCAATACCCCATGATGAGTATAATCACTAGGTACTGCAAACATGTATGAAAGGAAGAAAGAATGAAAGAAAGAAAGGAAGAAAGAAAGAAAGAAAGAAAGAGCTATTTAGAGGGGAACCCAAGTCTACAAGTGTTTTTAAAAGATTGAGAGGGAAAAAAAACTAAAAGAAATTGTTGAACTGATAAGACAGAAAAGAAAACCAGTGGCTAACAGAACTGTTTCTGGGCCAGGCTGTCTAAGCTCAATACTAGCGCAATCTTTCTATTGTTTGTTTGGAATGTAAGATTCCAAACAGGGAGCCCCAGTATGAGCTACAGGATCCTTAGGTAGGAGGCCACAGCCAGATGTGGTGGCACAGGCCTGTAATCCCAACACTCTATGAGGCTGAGGCACGAGGATAGCAAGTTCTAGCCCAGCCTGGGAAACACAATGACTTAGCAAAACCTTGTCTTAAAAAATAAAAAGGGTTGGGAACACAGCTCACACTATGATGGCCCTAGGATTCATGTCAGTGCTCAAAACAAACAAACAAACAAACAAAAAGCATGTGGTCAACAGAAGTCAAGATAACACAGTAGCAAGACTTGCTTTTGACTGTTTACATTTCCTATCTTTTGAATTCTGTCCTATGTACAATTTATTTCAATTGTCACTAAAATTAATTTTTATACAACTTAGATTGTTGGTGGCCCAGAGAAGACTGGCTTCAGTATAATGGTAGGAAATGAAGCCACAGTACAATAGGTCAAGAATGACTCAGGGAGGAGAAAATGGAGAAATGAGCTGCAGATCTCTCCTCTCTCTCTCTCTCTCTCTCTTTCTCTCCCTTTTTCTCCCTCTCTCTCTCAGCCTATCTCAAAGGGGATGAAAAAGGTAGGGTAGCAGCTGTTCCACAAGATGTGAGATGTTATTTTGCTCTAAAGAAAGTAAAAATGAAACCATTTTGAAATGTTGATGAGAAAGAGCTAGTGGAAAAGAGGTGAATAATGCAGCTGATAAAGGAGATAATTAAGGAGGCAGTGCAAGGTCTTGGCAGGCAGGAGCTTTTGCAACCTGAGAATGAGAAAGGTATGCCTTCCATAGGATTGCCCTGACAAGGTGAGGTGCGTGTGGATGCAACCCAACATCTACGCCCCCTTCCTCTTTCTCCACCAAGTCCAGGGGTGAAGAAGCTGCTGACTAGGCTAAGCCAATCAGTGAAGCCCCTGCTCCTCAGACACAGTGATTGGTCCAGCAATAGACACGTGATCTGATTCTGGTCAATAAGACTAAGGAGGCTTTTGTTGGGGCTTCACAAAAAAGAAATTTCCACCTTACTGAAAGAGCTGCAGAAAGCCACTTCTTTCTCCTGCTGGAAGGGAATGAGCAAGGGTGCAGCCCAATGTGTAGCTGGCAGCCATGCCATAACGCAGGGAGAATGGGCCCTAAGGTGGAGACAACACTAGCATGGAGAATAGAGGGAGGAAAAGATCTTGGGCCCTTGATGAGCTCTCTGAGCCACTGGATCACCCAGCTGGAAAAACCACCCTTCATCTGGGCTACAGGAAAAAAGCCACAGTAGGGCTGCTCACAGTGGTGTATCCCTGTAATCCCAGCACTCAGGAGGCCAAACTTGGTTTGAGTTTGAGGCCAAACTGGGCTGCATAGTTGGTTCAAAGCTGGCCTGGACTACAGGGCAAGACCCTATCTCAGAACAAAAGAAACAAAAGGCACATCTGTTTAGGGTTTCCAGTACTCACAGCTTCTCTCACTGATGAACATCCCTTCCACGCAACCAGAAACAAGACACATGGAGGCAGGAACTGAGTGAGACAATATCAGGTGGAATTTTTACGTATTTCTCTGTAAAGTAAAGTGATCCAGATGCTAAGAGTGAGGAGGGTACTGTAAAGAGTACAAAGATAGAGTAGAACAATGGAGACTGGATCTGATTGTCCAGGACAATGGGAAAGAGAGCTACGTGGGCTGAGTCCCTGGATAAGGGTTCTGAGACACCTGCCAGCTGCAAACAGCTGCTCTCCCACAACAACCAAGCCTCTGAGTTTGTGGGACAAGGACAAAAGGAGTTGAAGGGATAACCGCAATACCGTAGTGATTGAAGTGATGAAGCCCAAGGTCCAGGATAGACTGGGAAGGGAGTTAGAAGAGGAAGGGGCAAATGAGTAAAACGAAGACAAGAAAGTATGACCAGGACAGACACCTCCTTGGATTAAAGAACAGGAAGTGAGAGCACCAAGGAGACAATGCAGACCAGTCTGAGTAAACAGAGTGAAGAGTCCCCAAATAATACAGGCATCTGGGCCCAGGACCCACCCGACCCTGCCACCACCCTCAGCTCCTGAGTGTTGTTCCAAGATTAGCTGAAGTGGGTGCATTCAGATCTAAATGAAGCTGGGTAGACACAGATAAGAACTCAGAGGGGCCTAATTCTTCCTATATCATCCAGAGCCATGATCACATTGGTAGGTTGGAGGGGAATATTTTCAAGTTTGTGCTGCTGTTTCTGAATGCTTTGTAGGGGGAAAGGATACTCTGGAAATAAGCAGCGGACACTGCCAAAAAAAAAAAAAAAAAAGCTTTCCTTCAAATAGTTTTTATAAAGGACTCACCTGTGCATTCATCTTGGTTTCTTTCTTCAGTGGCTGTGAAGACAGAAGCAGAGGGTCAGGACTCTGGTGGCACCACCCCAAGCTCCACAGGAGCACCACCTAGTCTCCTCCCCGCTTTTTCTTGCACCACTTCCACTCCCATCAGTCCCATTTTCCACAAATGCCTCCAGCAAAGACCTCTAGGTGTCTTCCACTCTAGGACTACTGATGGCCAACTTCCTCGGGACATTTCCAAGATCCCTCTCCTATGGAAGAGTAGCTAGAAATGATGCCCCATGGAAAAGATGTGCTTGGAGAGGATCTCTCTCATTTAATTTAATTTAGTTTAATTTAATTGTTTTGCTGTGCTCAGGATTGAACCCTGGGTCTTGTGCATGCTAGGCAACAACTCTGCACTAAGCTGCACCGAACCTCTAAGCATAGTTCTTAATTTCCCCTTTTTAATGAATACAAGCAAAGCAATAAGAATGACACATCTTTTTCTCCCCTCCTAGCTCAGAGTTTCCAGAGGACTTCAATTTATTTTGTTAAAAAGACAGTTCAGCAAGCTACTACTCTGGATCCTTAGCATTAAAGAGGAGAGAGCAAACAGGTGTGCATGAGTGAGAGACATGAAGGAAGAAAAGAGATAAGGGGAAACAGGAAAGAGAAGGAAAACAAAGAGACGTGTAGCATAACAGTGGCACAAAACCAAAGAATTCCTGGAATTGCTTGTTGAAAATGAGTATTTCTGGGCTCCACCCCCAGATCCTGATTCAGAAGGCCTAGAATAGAGGGGAGGCTAAGAATCTGCATTTTCATCAGGCATCCAGGATATCATGGACAGAAAGGTGGTCAGGAGCCACCCTTGGAGAAACTCTGGAATTGGAAGTAGAACAGAGAAGCCTGTAACTTTTTCATTCATTTGTCAGAGCTGCTAGAAGTGCTGCTGTGTTTTAACTAACACTGAGCAAGTGGATAACCAGGGATGATGAAGAAGGACTAAACACACCTCTCCAGCCTTCCCACCCAGGAGCAATGTCCAGGAGGACAAGGAGAAAGGCCAGGAAGCTCCGTGGTCTCTGAAAAGGGAAGGCTGAGGCATCCCCATTTTGGCCCAGCCTTGCATATGATTTGATTCTTTTTGGTTAAATGTAGGGATGATAACATGAATAATAACAGTTAAGTAATAACCCCATTGACTCTGGAGACCCAAAGACTATGCAGGGAAGTCTACATGGTGATCATCTGGAGTTTTCACTGAGAAGCACACATCTCCAGCAACCCTCCCCTCCTTCTCTCTTCCCACTATTTGCTGCTTTGAGAGCAGGTCTCGTGATGCAGTCAGGCTATATGCTGTCTTTCGCAATCTGGAGCCTTTTTCTATCACTTAACAGATGTGAAAAAGGGACCTTGAAGAAAAACCTAATAGTCGAGTGTGCCATAGTGAGCAGACTTTCTTCTCGGGTCCTAGGGAGTCAATGTAAATGTGATGTCCCCTTGTGCGTGAAATATCTCAGAGTGATGACTTAGATGCGGAAGGCTAAATTTGGGTTGGGGGGTGGGGGAGCTAGAACTAAGTGGAGGGTCCATGCGGGATAACATTGTGAGCCACACAACTCTAGTTGCCCTCCCGAAGTTCCTCTAGAGCTTCCATGGGAATGAGGAAGTCAGATAAAAAGCCACACAAATATGAGGAGAATGGTAAGAGTTAGGAGCTTGTTTGTGTCAGCTGCTTTATATACATTAATCCCAATTCTCACGACCTTGGCAGAAACAGCTAAGATTAATTGCATTGTATAGATGAGGTACCTGAAGCTCATGGAAGGTACGAGCGCTCCTAGCCAAGTTTCCAGAGGACTTTAATGTATTATGTGACAAGAGCAATTGATCAGGCTACTGATTAGCATTCAGGGTCTCACAGGCTTTAGTCTCACTGCCAAGGCTTTGTGGCCTTGCCCTGTCATTTCCAGACCTTCCAGTTCTGAAGCCAAACTAAACTGCCCCAGACACTTTTACAGAACTTGTCTTATTCTCAGTCCAAAGGCTTTTATAACAGGCGAGACCTGGTGTTTGGCCCTGTGTCATCATGGGCTTCTCAAACAATGGTGGTCAACAGTCTCCACATTTGTAGGCTGAACAGCTGGACTTCAACTCTAAAGTCAGCTTTAGTTTTAACATATTTGCTGGTTCCCAGAAAAGGAAATCTAGGTACTTCTTAAACATATGGAATGATATCTGACCTCAGTCATGATCAAAGATATAAACTAAGACATCACCAAAAGATCCTCTCAGATGGATAAATCAAAATGTGTGCTGGAGCGTGTTGGGCAAAGACTGGTGAAGAGTACACTCTCTGCTACTCCTGGGGGGTTCCAGGTGGGGGCCAGCTCTGTGGAGGATGGGTAAGCATTAGCTATTAAAATGCCAAATGCACATAACCTGTGACCTAGTAACTCCACTGCTTCTCATTTCTGTCTCCACCCCCAAACCACGTTCAGAGGAAATCATTAAATTGCCTTGAATCCTCTTGTCTTTGTAGAAACATCAGTGTTCTGTTTTGTTTTGTTTGTGGCACTGGAGATTAAACCTGGGGCCTTTGTGCTAAGCTGTGCTCCCAGCCCTTTTTAAATTTTTTTATTTTGAGATAGAGTCTTGCTAAGTCACAATGAGAACTTCCAGCAAAGCTTTCCTTTAAGAGCAATTTATAAAACTATATGAACTTATGAACTTTACTAGTCTTCCACAGACTCTGGGGTAAGCAAAGTAAAACAAAAGAAATTCAGAGGAATGACTATGTGTGAGAAAGAATCCTCCTTGGAAATGCTACCATGTTTAGGCAACAGGGTGTCTCACCCATGATGAACTTTCCCTACAGCTTTCAGCTCCCCTTCTAATACAATAGCCCTGATAAGAAGCATGGCAACACCAGACTAGGTGAGATCTGGCTCCACTTTTCAACACTCGCCAAAGTTGGGATCTGAAATGTCCACAAAAGACTCACATGTTAAAGGTTCAGTCACCAGCTTGTGGCATTATTTGGAAGTGGTGGAAGCCTTCAGAGCTGAAGCCTAGTTAGGGGCAGTTAGGTCACTAGACGTGAGACCATGAAGGTAATATTGGGACTCAAGTCACTCCCTGTCTCTCTCTTTGCTCCCTGACTGCCATGAGGTGGGCAGTCGCCTCTACCATGCATACCCACCATTACGTGCTGCCTCCCTGCAAGCCCAAAAGCAACAGACCAGCTTACCATGGATTGAAACCTCTGAAACTGTGAGCCAAAATAAAGCTTACCTCCTTCTACATTGTTTATCCCAGGTACTTAGTCACAATGATGGAAAGATAACCCAACACTCTACCAGCCCATCATGCACCTCTCCCTCCATGCCTCCTCACCCTCCTGACAAGACCCATTTTCACTTAAAAAGAATGCAGGGAAAATTGTATTCTATAGTTTATTAGATTCCTAAAACATCTAGGACCTAACCCCACAGTAAGAATTAGGTTTGTTTACTTTTTTCTTTCAAAGATTTAATATTTAAATGGTCAAACACAAAAGGATTTTAAGTTGTCATTTAGTATTATATTTAAATTTTTTTCACAAGAAACAGATACATATTTTTTTTCTCTTATATTTCTAACCCTTTTTGTATTGGGGATTGAACCCATGGCCTTACACTGAGCTACATCCCCAGTGTTTTTATTTTATTTTGAGACAGGGTCCCAGTTGCTCAGGCTGGCCTTGAACTTGTGATCCTCCTGCCTGAGCCACCCAGACAGCTAGGACTCTAAGTATGACCCATCATGCCTGCTTCTTTATATTTTTATTCTATTATAATTAGTGTGTGTGGTGCTAAGGATTGAAACAAGATCTTGTAAATGATAGCCAAGTGTTCTACTACTAAGCTACACCCCAAGACCAGATTTTTTTAAATCAATCTAAATTGCATTTTAGTATATAAGACTTTACTTTTCCCCAAATAACTGAGTTACTTCCACATTGTTTATTGAATATTTCATCTTTCCCCCCACTGACTATATTTAAATCTTATTGGTATAGTTATTTTCAGTCTCTGATGTGCCATGAACCTATATTCTCATGTCTATAATACATATACTGTTCACATGACTATAGCTTTACCATGTGTTGACACCTGGTCATTCAAGTTCTCTTGTTAATTTTGTTCATTATTTTTATCTATTCTTGCTTATTTAGACCTCCAGATTAATTTTACAACATTTCTGTCAAGTTAAAAATTCCACTGGGATTGTGACTCTGACTATTCAGATGTATAAATTAAATTAGGGAAAATTAATAAGCATTTCCATCCAGAAACACTGTACACCTTTTCAAGAGTGGTCATTTAGAAAGTAATTAAAAAACAATGAAGAATAATCATGAGTTGATTCCTAAGGAAGAATCTTGAGTTTCTTCCTGAATTACTGCACAAGGACAAACAAAAGCTGAATTCAACTTTCCAATTTCAGTACAAAGTTAAAAAAAGAAGGATCTTTTGCATAAATAAATAAGCAATTTTAAGCAGGCTTCTCCTCCCCCTGTATCTACTGTAGCAGGACTGCTAAACAGTCTAGGAATTTGAGCCTTTATTTGCTTTGACCCCAAAGCTCAGACACTAAGGGTCTCTGAGGGTTGAAGACCTTGTCTTCAATTCACAGGACCAGAATTCTAGGTCTGGCATGGGCCTCTGCTAGCTTTGTGATCAAGGCTTGGGCCTATGATCTCACAGTGCATTTGTTTCTACACCTAGAAAAAGGAGAAGTGAGAAACATAAACAATCTTAGATAACTCCTATGCTCACTTTGAGTGCTGACATAGCATTTTGCTTTTGTTCTCTTCTGATTTTTCATGGCCATTTGTTTTTTGTTTTTTGGGTTTTTTGGTATTAAATTCTTTAATTGGTACATTGTAGGTATACAACACAATTACATTTCTCATTGGGAATTGTACCTTTACATAATGCATCTTGGTTCTTATTTTTTCCCCATTCCTAGCCCTCCCTTCACACCCTCCACCCTTCCCTATTTACAAAGAC